GGGTCTTGCTCTTGCTCAGGCTGGTTTCGAACTCCTGAGCTCAAACAATCTGCCCGCCTTGGCCTCCCAGAGTGCTAGGATTACAGGTGTGAGCCACCGCGCCCGGCCACGCACCAAGTTTTAAAATGAAATATCTGTTTTCCTAATAACAGATGATTACTAAAAAGAATTTAGATGGCAAAAAGAATATGAAAATCTTTCTTAAGACACTCTCCCCTACTTGCCTAAGATAATCACTGTTAACAATTTGATAATCTTCAGGACATTTTTAATGCCTGTATGTTTGCATTTATGTATACATTTATGGCTTTTAAAATACAAATTAGATCATATGACATAATACTCAGGTTGTTAGCTTTACCCAGTTCATATTGTAGTGGTCTTACCAGGTCCTATTCCTTCCTAAATGTAAACAAATCATCTGTTTCATAATCAGTTCTAGCATTTGCCAATTATCAATCATCCTGCTCAGCAGTCTACAGTTCTCCACATAGCATTTGCTCATGTAATAACTGTCAGTGCTTTAGGAAAGGCTAAATTATAAGTGTATTGCAGGTTGACAGGAAAGTGTTTATTCTAAGAAGATTGAGACCCCAAAAAGTTTTGAAGCATTACAAATGAGTTTTTGTTCCAAAATAAAAAATCATTTATATGTGGGAAAAATCATAGCTGTAGTTTTGATGTCATATATATGCCAGCTACTTTGCTAAATAATTGACATTTAGTCTTTACACCAATGTCATGAGTGTATTATTATGTTCCTTTTACAGACGTCAAGTGAAGCTCACAGTCTTTATATAATATTCCCATGGTCACAGAGTTAATGGAAGATCTGTTTCCAAAGCCCGTATTCTTCCACTGTGTTCCACTACTTCTCCAGCTCCTTCTTTAATAATGCTATTTAAACTTGCATTCAATTGAGTAAATGTTTATTGAGTGCCTACTATGTGCCAGGAATTATACTTGGCCAGAGGTGTGAAACTATGCACCCTGTCCAGTAAACTAAAAGTTATTTATTACTGCCAAAACCCAGGGTGCTTTGGGAGGTAGTAAATTAAATTTGATGTTACTATAACTCCATCTACCAGCT